TTATTGTTCTGGATTAGTACAGCACCTTAATATGGTTTGCGCCTGCAAGCAGAGCTGCTACAGAAATAATCTCTCTGTTACTAGCAATAATGAGCATTAGCTTCATCCAGCGAGCAAAAAATGTCGTGGTTACTTCTGAATTTTGCTGGTATTTTTGGTTACAATGTGGCTGATGTTACTGTGAGGTCCAGATACAGCAAAGTTTCCCTAGGACTAAATCAGTAGTAGTTTGCTTGCAAAAGGAGGATCAAGATGTTTTAATGACTTGACAGTTGAGCTTGAAAAGTCTTAAATCTGTGGTACCATTTATATGTATTAAGCTGAGATATAGCTATAACTATGGTAACGCTGTAGAAAAAGAAAAACTCCACGCGCAGGAGTAAAGGTTGTGGACTAGGCCTGCGTTGTCCCAGGCACCGTACAAATCCAGAACACAAGATTGTCCCTGGCTAGAACAACGTGACTTATTTTCCTTCTGATTTTGGAAACGTTTTATCTTTTTGAAGGGGATTGCTGAATCATGTATAAGATATGATCATCAAGTGTTAATCGTCAGAGAGCCTAGTGATGCTATGGGATTACGTTGGTTCTTGTGAAGGAACAATACCTCCTGGAGTTACGTTTAATTGATATTATTGTGAGTTCTAGAACCTGTTTCGTGGCTAGACATGTAACTGTAAAAACTTAGTATTTCCGTACTCAGCCTAGATATACAAGTGGGTCTCAGTTGCTCTTAAATATTCACACATGCTGAATATCCATGCACAATTGTCACTATGGACAAAACCTGAAACAAATTGAGAAACTTCTCAAGGACTGTTCAAAACTCTCTGTTTTCTCTCCATTCTCAGAATTGGTGACTGTGGCCTTAAGCCCAATGTAAAATTTGTAGGAGACGGCAGTAGAGTTATTTACTTTTGGATGCACTTACATTAGCATTCTAGTTCAGGTCGTTTTCTTCTGAAATGGCCTTCCCCCTTCTGCACTTTGGGTCGCATCGCGGAGCACTCTGCATGTGTGTTCCCTTCCGATGAGCCTAAATCAGAGGATGCCTCCAGGACTGCTTCTACTGTGCTGCTGCTGAGTGCCAGTCCACAGGGCATACGAGAGCTAGCCTAAAATAACCCCTCTTGAAACAGGTATGCTGTTGATGGCAGGTCCTCAGCACCAACTGTTTTACTTAAAAAAAAAAAAAAAAACCAAACCTGCTTGTATTGGTCAGTATTAATATTCCATATATTGTCTAGCCTTTAACTTTCAGGTGAAGCTTTAAGCTATATATGTGATCCACAAATCCTCTGGCTTCACACCCGCCAACAAGAGGGCAGCTTTCCTGCTCATGTGTTAGTACAAAAGCTGTGATTAGGAGCCATTTCTGACCTGGAGAACCCACTGAAAAAGCAGGTTCTTCGAGTATGCTGAAGTGCATCATGTGTCTGTATCAATTTGTGTTTGTTAAATATGATAGTTTAAAATATGCATGAAATATGGCTTTATTTTTTCTTGGAAGTTTGCTGAATTGAATTTAGCAAGACCATCTAGAGCCAGAGGTAAGAATTGTTTTGAAAGAAATTGAAATAATCTTTCTTTAAATTCGATTGAAAAACAAGTCTCCTGATCTGGAGAAAGCAGTGAATATTAATCAATTTTAAATTATCCGATAATATTTTTTTTATTAACATTAGATGAGTCTATAAGGAATTGTAGAGTGCCCTGAAAAAAAATCTCATGTAGGATTATGTCTTGATTTCAAAGGAGAAGTGAGTAGTAACAAATAGAACATGACGTATATTGAAAGACGTAAGCTGAAGTACTCAGACGCTCTGTAGAGTTCTTCTGTTAGGTAATCTTTGTTTTCGAGAAGCAAAAACAACTAGGTTGTCTCTGTAAAGAGCTCACTAAAATACCCTAGTGAGCTAGAGCTGTTTTTAAGGGGGAAAAAATATGTTATGCTTAGGAATAGGCAAGAAACAAGAAATTAAAGTAATTGTGATCTCAGTAAGGTTTCCTTACTCGGGTGGAGTGGAAAAATTGCATCTGTTTTGAAAGGAGATGAATAGTAGAAGTGCAAGAATAATCACGAAGCGGAACAGGTCAGTTCACATACCATGTACCAGTTTTCATAAGATTAAGGAGATGGGCTACTGAAATTAATAGGTGACAGTTTTAAAAATGAAAAAAGGAAATAAATTATTATGGAACTGCCCAGTGGAGCTCTGTATTGTAAGATCTTTTCTCTGTCACTGCTATGAAACCACACTCAGGCATTACTTTAATTTTAGCTGCCTTTCTAGACCTTAAGGATCAGCATTGTCTAATTCTTGATCTTTTTCCTTTTTCAAATGTTTGCTATGGTTTTTTGTCCTGCTGGTCCATAATGCTAAAACTTTCATTAGGCTCAGATATACATGACTTGTCTTTGCTTTCAATGTTTCCTTCCAGGTCTTTGATAACCACTTACTAACTTCTAAGTTTTCTGATGACATGATTTTTCCATTGCTGCCTGCTTAGAACTTCAATCAGGCATCTTTATGACTTTTTTCCTATGATGTCACATATGGTTTATGAAAAAACTTGACAGTGATTAAGTGACTGGCGTACAAAACAATTGATTACCGTGATAAACCACGTTGATCCATTTGCTGCCTTGTACTACCCTAACCATTTCTGTTGATTGGTATAGTCTTGGTCTGTAAAATCTTTAGTGCTGGGATATGTTTCTGTCCTGGTTCTGGATCTTAGTTTGTGGTTACTGCTGAGGGGGCTACTATAAATGCAAGTTAAAAAGTGGGCAAAAATAATTTAATAGAACTTGGAAAAGAATGCTCTGATAAGAGATCTCAGCTTTTCTGTAACAGCATGTAACCTCACTGCCAGCTCGCAGGGGTAGAGTGGATTTCTCAGCGGAGGTTGTTCTGTCATCGGCTAATCTGGAATTCCCTGCGCTTACCAAATTTACGGTGCTGGCGAAAGAATAAGAGAGGAGGCTGGCTAGCTTGAGTCTCATCTGAAGCTGCTTCTGCTTTTAGGTGCCTGAATCCACAGTTTTGGTGCAAAGAACTTGATATATTTTCCCCAGGTATCTTCATTTTGAATTTCATTAAGGGTATGGTAGTCTGCAGCCCAAACTGACCGTGGTTCAGCATACGTGTCTGAGACAGAGCCTGCTTTAAATATCAGTAGCAAACTAAAACTACACGCAGCACCACATAACGTGGTACAAGCTGCAATGTCTCTCAGTGAAGCAGAATAAGCAGAACAGTTTCTTGCATTGAGCTATGTGCTGCTGCTAGGTTTATATCAATAGTTAGATATTTTTAATTCTGCCTGTGTCCTGATTTGGGCTGGGATAGAGTTAATTTTCTTCCTAGTAGCTGGTATAGTGCTGTGTTTTGGATTTAGTAGGAGAAGAACGTTGATAACGCACTGATGGTTTAGTTGTTGCTGAGTAGTGCTGACACCAGTCAAGGACTTTTCAGCTTCCCATGCTCTGCCAGCAAGAAGCTGGGAGGGGGCACAGCCAGAATAGTTGATCCCAACTGGCCAAAGGGCTATTCCATACCATATGGCGTCATGCTCAGTATAGAAACTGGGGGGGAGTTGGCCGGGGAGCCGCGATCGCTGCTCGGGGATGGGCTGGGCATCGGTCGGCAGGTGGTGAGGAATTGCATTGTGCATCACTTGCTTTGGATATTCTTTTATCATTATTAATATTATTATTATTTTCCCTTCCTTTTCTGTCCTATTAAACTGCCTTTATCTCAACCTATGGGTTTTACTTTTTTTTCTGATTCTTTCCCCGATCCCACTGGGGGCAGCGGGGGGGAGCGAGCAAGCGGCTGTGTGGTGTGTAGCTGCCTGCAGGGTTAAACTGTAACAGCCTGTTAATCTGACTTACCCATAAATGTCATCTCTAGGCCTGCGACAAATAAAAGTAATTTATGGATCACAAGAATGAAACATTAGAAGAAAAATAATGGTGCAAGTCTGGGATAAAGATCAACTTCAGAAGTCCCAAATTTGTAGGTATTTTATTTCTATCGTTAAAAAAAAAAAACTTGGAAAGGATGAACAGACCACTGGGTCAGCAGGTGTAAAACTTCTTCACTTTACTGAAATCTGTTTCTTTCAGCTGAATACTGTTACATTTGCGAAGGAGCAGCCCTAAGGACAGATGGTGCAAAGGTTGCCTAGTGTGACGTCCTAAATTCAAGGCGGATTTTTGTGTTCTGTTCTTTGAAGGGGCAGTGACTTCCAAATCACACAGAGCCGTGCCTCTGATCTTTCTGAAGATGAGTCATAGTGCAACTTGTATATCGAAGTACTGGGGTCGAATGTTGCAGTATGTTGATCACTCCTGATGATAGGACTAGATGTGCTCTAATCTCATGGGTGGGGTTATATAGCACGCTTTATTAAAAAAGACTTAGAGCTATTAAAAGCAGGATGTTGAGGTTTTTGTTGCTTTCTTTTTTTTTTTTCATTAGTGCTCCGCTCTAGATTTTAAAGTATAATAAAGTAATGAACGTTTACCCTGAGCTTAGTGGCTTTAAATGCTGGGTTAATTTACACTCGGAGTGGAGCTTTCAGTGTCAGGCGATCTTTTTTGCCAACATAAGCGCTCAGCTGAAACAACAGCTATGACTCAGTTGCCAGTGAACGCTGCTTGAATTGATTTAGTCCGAGTTCAGATTTAGCACATAATCATGTTCAATTTGATCCACTGTGCTGCCTAGAGATAAAAGGGTTGAAAAAAATAGATGTAGCCTATGTCAGTCTTTGTGGTGATGTCATTGCCGTGAGAGATGGAGCAGCGCTGTTACTATGCTGTGCCTGCTCAGTTGGTGGGTGTGCGAGGGAAAGGCAAGGAGCAACTCAGTTCAGTGCAAAGAGCTTGTGTCGGAAGCTTGCAGTTATTGGCAGCGTTGAAACAGAATTTTGGACTGTTCAATTGCAATACCGAACTGAAGATTTTTTTTTTTTCTTTTTTTTTTTCCTCTTTTCTTCCAATCGTTTGTTACTCTGAGGTTGCCTAACTCTCTGTACAACAGGGGGGGATGCCAGCCCGTAGCATGGACTGTGATGTCTCCACTCTGGTTGCCTGTGGGGTTGATGTGGAGATTTTTGCCAACCAAGAGGTTAAGGTATGCACCTATAATCCTTTTGTTACAGATGCTTCTTAGAAAAAGCCTTTGGGGAGCAATAGGCATTTGTATGTAGCAATTCAGAATAAGGAGGCAGATGAGATTCTGCTGCAGTAGTAAAAGACATGCAGTTAAAAAAATCTGTTAATTAGGGGAAATACGGGAGAGAAATGTGCCTGTTTTTTACTGTGTTTTGATAAGCTGAAAGAATAGGCTGGTAAATGTAGTAAAAATACTCTTTAATGATATAAGAAATGGGTTATATAACTGACATCTGTGCATATCCATGTTTCATATTCATAACAAATCATTCATTGTTAATTTTGTCGAGGTATTTTTAGTCCAGTGTCACTTTTTAGATCAGCCTTGCCATAAATTTCATTTATCACTGTTGATAATCTTCAGATATTTTTACTCAGTTGAACACTAGCTGTTTCTTGTCTTCAGATCCAAATCATGTATACAAGTATAAATTTTTTTTGTGAAGGGTTAAAAGTTTGTGGCAAGTATTTTGGTGTATCTGCAATATAACCAAATAGAAAAAGTTGTGAATCTTGCATATCCTATGAATACCTTAAAAACAATGCTTAAATGTAAGGCTTGATATGCTGGGCTCATAGTCTCTTAATTGGACAACTGCTGTAGAAAAGTCATTGTGTGTAATTGCTTACTGTTGAAATCCATTATCTTTTTCATTTATTCTCATATTACTACAAGAAAATCACTGCAAATTAAGTTTGAAAGAGGAATTTTAAGTATACTTTTCACAGAGCATCTGAAAGAGCTCACAGATGTAATACAGTGATATTCAGCAGTTTATTTAAAGGACAAAGATACAATGTTAGTTTCTAATCTGATTGTTCTTAGTATTGAAAGAATGGAATGGGAAAAAAAAAAAGATTTACAAATTGGAGGTCAAATTTTGAACCCTGTTCTGTTTAATTGTGAGTCAAATGTTGAAGCCAATGGAAATATCTGGAAATAAAACCCCTTTCATTTGCAAGAGGCATATGATTTTTATTTCCCTGTTAGTTTGTTACCGGGTAATATCACGTATACTTTGTACAGATGCTTTTGTGTTGCCAGCAAGAGATTCTTCTTAATTTAAGAAGCTTTTTTTTTTTTTTTTAACAGTTTAATACTGGATTTATAGATGAAATAGTGAGTAATTCAGATGAATGGTTCAGGTGAGCAGTCTTGCCTGTATTGGAACATGTTTCCTGTAGTGTTTTGAAGTAGTAAAATGTTTGTCTGCTTATTCCTTTTTTTCTCCTTTTTTACTTAAGAACATATTTTTTTTAAATTAGGCATTACACCTGCATTGATATGAGCTTGTACCTGGAGCAACTGTCTTTTAGTGTCTGGTCCATGTTCAACGTAAGGCTGTGCAAGAAATTAAAGTTGTAGTGATCTTCTTGTATCCTTATTCATATGACAGTAGCAAAGAAAAAGCAAAATTTAGGCTTCCGTAAAATCAACAGAAAGCTTTCCACTGACTTTGGTAAGACTTAGATTAGCCTGCCTTAAGCTGCAGCATCTGGAAAGTGTGGCCCGGGAACATGGGATAAAAGAGAACAAAAGGGTTACAGAGACATTACAGGAATTGTAATTCCTTTCATGTTACTTGGACTTTCTGTACTTTGTTTGCTTTGGTCAAAACCGCCTTTTTTTTTTTTTTTTTTTTCCTTTTTTTCTGATGTCTGAATTAAAATGTTGAGTGCGAAGACTTTGGGTATATTTACAATGGAGACTGCACTGCAGACTGCACTGCAGCTTAGAAACGGTGAGTCTACTTTGAAGTTGTCTGGCTTAGATGCTAGAAGCAGTCTGTCCTCAGTGACCCACAGCTCACTGCAGACTAATTTTCACTTGGTTGTCAACAAACTCAGCTGTCGGAGGCTGCGTGCAGTGCTGCCGCAGCTCGGCTGCTTCCAGTGCTCAAGCCCAGCTAGCTCTGCACTGATGCCCAGTCTTTCTCCACACAGCAGGCTGTGGTGTAAGCATCCTCTCTGTCAAAGTTTCAGCGCTACTGATATTGTAAAGGTGGAGACACCTACTGCTCTTTGCTCACTCCCAGGAGAATCGCAGAAAAAAAAAAAAAAAAAAAAACCTCCTGCTTTTTTCCCCCCCCAGGGAAAAACCAAAAAAAAAAAAAAAAAAAAAAAAGAATATGTTTTTTTGTCTGCAAAAGTGGTTCACTTCAAGGTGGGTTTTTTTGTTGACAGTATGGTCACTGTCAACATAAAAATGTTTATGTTGACTTTGATAGGAAACATCAAGCTTTAAGGTTAAAAAGGAAGCAGGCTGTTTCTAAGAAGAGATGGGCGTGGAAGTTGAAGAGCAAAAGCAAGCACAGAAATCCTGCCTTCTCCCCCTCCCCTTTTCTCCCGTGAGTACCCCTCTGCCCAGCCCTTCTGCAGGTCAACTGGAAGGCACAAGTAGTATTGAAAACTGAAGTCTAGGCTATTGTCCTTTCAGTTTTCTTCTGCTATAGAGCTTTTCACGTAGGGGAAAGTTTTTTTTGGTAGACAACCTTATGGCTGTGTGAAGGGAATGTTCCTTCAGTGGTAGAACAGATATATTAAAGATTTCATGATATGTGTGGAGCTCAATGAGATTTGTTAAAATGAACTATAAGTCCTGTAGAAGTAGTTCTCTAATGTCAGCAAGGATTGTGTTTAAGGTTTTAGGATATGCTTGCAGCATATTACTTCAATTTAGGGTTAGAACTGAAGTGAGGCTTTGGAGAAGGATGCCGGCTGTACTTGGCCATCGTTATCCCGCTTGTGGGTTGGATGCATCTGGGAGGGTGGCTGCAGCCGGCAGGCTGAAGAGGGAGGTGGACAGGAGCTGCCGTGTTTGCCAGACCCGCAGTGGAGGAGCTTGGTTTGTGTTCGGGCTGTAGAGCAGGAGCCCTCGCTGCAGGTGGCAATGGTGACTCCTTGAAGTTGCTGCTTCTCAAGAGCAGCGGCCCTTCAGTGCTGGGGAATTCTTACACAGAGAGGCAATGTCTGCTGCTGGGCACAGGGCTTGGAGTGGGGTGAGCTGCTTAGCTTATTGCTGCTTTTCCACCCATGGAAGTGACCTTGTTCTGTAGGCATTATGCTCTTAGCATCTGGCAGAGAGGCTCGGAAATACTCCTTTCTCCATTTGGCCTCTGGAACAGGAGAGCGATTGCTTAGTACTGAAGGCAAAGCTTTTTAGTTTGAGCATTTGGAGTGGCTCATCCTTTCAACAGAGGCTCGTATGGATGCCCTGAAACTGGCAGCTGGCCCACAGCACTGACACCGTTGGTTTACCATCCATGAACCCATCCAACAGGCCTTTCAGTTTTGATCAGCTGCTGCTTTGAATCGTCTTTTATAAACCAAAAATTGGGCCAGGCTAATCAACATGCTACTAACCGTACAGTGCCTGTGTATCAGGAACTAGTGAAGTTGAGAAGGCAACCACAGAAATCACGAAGTGCAGTTCTGCTTTGAAGTTCACCTGGATAATTAAAATTCGTTTTTCAGTGCCTCTAGATGATAATTTTATGTAATGATGTTTGTTACATAAGCAATTAGCTAATGAATATCTTGTTTATTTCTAATAGAGAAAATCCAGACATCACTGAAACCATGGAAGAGAATTTGAACTCATACTTCTTAATCTAAGCAAGATATATTATTAATTTTTCATGTTCTCTCTTCAGTTACGTTCACACGCACCATTCCGCTAGGCAGCAAGGTATGATCAGGACAACGAGGCTCTACTGTAACAGAGAAGAAATACTAATGATCCAGATTGATCGAATTTGTATCTGAGGACAGTAATGTAAAGTGATGTGGATAGGACCATTATCTTAATGCAGGGGAAAAAAATGTGCACGTGAGCCAGGCAGCAAAGGGAAATACTAGAAATAGTTTCACTGTTTTGACCATATTGCTTTGGGGGGTTCATCCTCACTGGAGCGGGATCTCTGTCAATCTGTAAACTCATTATTCAGTTCAAATGCTCCAGTGAGCACACTGCTAATACTAGTTGTTTGGGATGGATGGTTTGGAGATCAGTCGCTGCCCTGCAGTTGCCTTTGAGAGGTTTAGCAGTCTAACTTCTTACCTAAACTTCTGAGGTCTAGAGGGCGAAAGCATACTAGGTTTAAGTGGTCTAAGATTAGAGTCAAGTGAAGAAAGCTGTAGAAAAAGAAAAAGGGAGGACTGTTGCTGCCCCTCTGGGTACTGCTAGCTGCCCAGTGGCAGAAATCATGACTTGTTGGGAGAGTTTCAGGGTTTCTTTTTTCAAATTCTTCTCCTTAGCCATGTGAGCTTCATTTGTGGGAAGAGACTGTTGCTCAGTCATAAGACTTCACGGAGTGGGACTATAAGGAGAAAACCAAACAACAGCGTGACTACCAGAAATACCCTGATGGCTTGAAAGGACTGCTTTATAGCTTCTTCTGTTAGTATTTACTGTACCTGATAGTTCTTTCTATTTGTAAATAATGTTGTATCTGTGAAATCTTCAAGATCCAGTAGTTCTGCTTGAAAAATAGATATACGTGTCTTTTGATCTCTGCTTACTGTCTGTCTTCATCTAGAGTAAGTAACACAGGTTACAGAAATAGTTTAGGCTTTGCCTTTGCCCTTCTAACAGCCCCCGTGGGAAGGCAGTTGAACCCTTAAGAAGTTTCCGAAGAAGAAATGATACAATGGTAAGACTTCTAAGGGTCGTGATGTGCCCCTTAGGCTCACCTTCAACTATTTGTATTTGCTTTTTGCTTGACTCGGAGGCAGTCAAGCTGTTACACTGGAGGTCAGTGGCAGCCGCGGGTGCTTATGCACCTGTGAACATGACGTGCTTTCTGCTTATCATTCTTCACTCTTTTAATAATAACGGCGTGAACAGCAGAACAAGTCTCAGAGGGTTTTGTATTCTTTTTGATCCTCCTTTCTGTTGGAATTCACATAAAGATATTTTCTTTTCATAAGGGTAATTAGACAATGAGCAATTTGTGGTCA